TCATGGCACATGGATCTTTTTCCACACAGCTAGTTTGTTAGCAGTGTAAAAACACTAATGGGCAACAAAGAAAGATGCTTCGCATTATGGAGATGCTATAGTCTTGCCTCTCCACCACAAAGTCAGTGGGTAATCATAGCTCCTTAACGTAGCAGCGGATATACTGTTACTAGCACCCGACACAGTCAAGACACTCAGCAGCCTGAAAAACTATGCAAATATACCTAAAACATACCATCAAATAACTTTATTAAGGATTCTGATTTAAAATAATCCTGAACTATAGCCAAGTAACACTTTTAATTTTGTATTAACACTATTATTTAAGTGTTAAAAGCATACTTTAAAGAAATATGCCTTCTTAGCAAGCCCAGATTAAGGCTCAATAAATTCATACAGTATCATGTATCAATAAGAACTAGAACTCTGCCTATCCTGCATAACATGCTGTTTCGAATCTTTGGAAGGTTCAACGTTACGTCAACCATAAGAACGCCTGAAAAGATAAAATACAAAACACAGCCCTCAACATCAGACTTCCATCCCCATTTCACCTTTCAGTAACCGGGCTAATACATTTTGCAGAAGAAAAAGGCCTCGGTGCTGCCTACACGAGTATCTCTGCCCCGAAGAGTCGGAACCGCTCAGGCTTCAAAAGCGACAGGGGGTGAACAAGAGCCGGGGCACCGCCGGCACCACGGGCCCGAGGTGAGCTCGGCCTCCCCGGGCGGAAGCCCCTCCGCCAGCCTCGACACCTGCGTCCAGGCGAGCCCCAGCCACCTCCCCCGCAGCTCCGCCGCGCCGCGATCGTGCCCTCCAGCCGCCCCGGGGGTGGCGCGGCCGGCTTCCCCCGCCACCGGTTCGCGGCAGAGGGGCCGGGCAGGCCGCCCGGGCCCTGCGCTCACCGTTCAGCGCCGACGCCTGCAGCGTGGCCCCCGAGGTGCCGTCGATGACTTTGATGGCGCCGCGGGCGGTCACGGCCAGGATGGCGTTGAGCGCCGGGTGGTAGCACAGGCTGCAGAGACCGTCGGCGTCGCAGCGCAGGCAGCCGTCCCGCAGCAGCAGCCACTCGCAGGAACCCGGCCCGGCCGACACCGGCCCGGGCCCGGCCCCAGCCGGCGCCGCCACCGCCGAGGAGCAGGAGGCCGCCGCAGCCATCTTCCGGGCCGCTGCCGCCGCCGCCCTCAGGACAAGAGGCCCGCGGGGAGCCGCTCACTGACAGTCCCTGGAACCGCCGCCGCCGCCGCCGCCAGTCACCATCCGGGTCCGGGGAGAGGGGGAAAGGGAGAGCGCCAGCGTGAGCGGGAAGTGACACAACCGCGCCGGATGCGGAACCAGCCGCCTGCCTCACACGGCGGGAGGGGAGACGTGGGGCGCGGGCGGCTGCTCGCCACGGAGAGGGGCGGGAGCAAGGGGAGAGGCGGGGGCTCTGCTTCCTCCGTGCGCGCGCGCGGCCGTAGCGCCCCTCGCGGCGGGGGCTGAAGGGGGCCGTGTGTCCGCCCCGGGGCGGAGGGAGCGGCCTCCTGAGGGGAGCCGGCGGGGCTGCTCCGTCCCCTCCGGGGGCTCGGTGCGGTCGCTGGGGCTCGAGTCCTTCCCTGCCCCGCCGCTGCCGTGTCAGAAACTCGGTGGTAAGCGGGTGAGCGCCGCTGCCGCCTCCCGCGTCGGGGAGAAGGCAAGGAGGCTTTAGGCAGGCTGGCTCTGCGGCTGGTTTCCTGTCTGCGCTCGCAGAGCGGTGTGAGAGCCCCTGGTTAGGCTGCTTCCAGCTCTGGTACAGTGAAAAAATGGAAGCGCCGTGCTGCTACCGCTTCCTTTTGGAATGAGTTTGGCGCACACACGTGTGTGAGTTCCAGGAGCATTTGCCACCCGCTCTCCCACCACCCAAAGTAGGGATGGAGTCATTGTACCCATGAAAGCATTTTGTTATGAAGCAGGATTCAGCAAGCTTCAAAAAATGATATAAATACCGTCTGTATTTCACTGAGGCTTTCTGCCCGCCCCCAAATACCAAACCTGCCTGTTGGCATTATTTTATCTAAGTGACCTGCTCTACTAAAATATTAGAGAAAGTTTTTATGGTCTTATATATATTGAAGGGTTTTGATGTCTTAAAAACTTCTGATTAAGTTTTGTGATGGTCTTAAATATATTGACGTTTTAAATATAATGTGGTTTCACACAGGCGAGTATTTTTATTAGAAGGACCCATGTTAGCACAGGCTGCTGTAGCGGGTAAATGATTTAAGAAATAGAGTGTCTAAGGGGAAAACAAAAGAATCCACATGGGTATGCCACCAGCCTCATCAAAATTGTCCTGAGTGCAGAATAAGCAGCTTTCAGGCTTGCTTCACTGCTTCAGATGAGACATGAAAGACCAATAAGGGTAGTGACAAAACTTAAAGCAGACCTCAAGCTCTACGTTGTCTCCAAAGCAATTGATTTCACATAGTTTTCAAGTAGGCATAATTTTTCTGACAAATGATGGAGTATGTCTGATGGCTAGAAGAGGAAAGAAAGCAAGTTCACATGTACATGTTTCGTTGCTCTATCCAGAAGATATGTCTCTTGAAGGTATGATACCCATGTCTCTTCCTTGAAATGAGGTGTTGCATCTTGGAACAGGAACTTTGTGTTAGATGGATGCACTCTTATGTTTCCAGTTTTGAGAGAAATTGATACCAAATTAGTATTTCACTGAATATAGAGACTTGGACATAGGTAGGCTACAAGGATTCTTAAACTAGAGTCTTACTGTGTATAGAGGCTACAATTCTCAAGATAAGAAAGGCATGCAACAAAAGAACCAGATGTCTTCTCTCAAGAAGAATGTAGGCTTCCTCCTGTTGGCAAGGCCTCAGAAATAGGTAAACAGCTGCAAAAGAAAACTCCAGAGCCTCTCAGGGTTGTAAATTAGACCAAACAAGAACATGTAATTAATTGGAAAGACTAAACACATTCCAATGTCCTTAGCTAACAGCTGTCCATAAAAGGATAAAATGAGTAAGGGTATTTCTTTCCCCCCAGCCAACCACCATGACCCACAGAGAATTCACAGCGCCTGCGCCACATCCTTATCTGCCCAATTACTGTATGCGTGAGTAACAAGAATTGGGTGGACATTTTGCAGAATTATAATGAATAAGTATATAATGAAAAAACATACACTGTAAACTGTCTCTTCTTGGTGTGCATGACGAGCAGAGCGAGCCCCCATGCACCGGGGGTGCCATAATAATGTTGGCTTTCTAACCTGTCATTCTGAGTCTTAGTTCCCAGATTTCAGTGACAATAGGAATACTGCATCTATTATCACAAATATTTATTTATCACCTCAAAGCTTGAGATTGATGACATTAATAGGAATATAGATGTCAATTCAGTAAATATAAATGAGCTTCATACATTCTGTAAACAAGTTTAATTCAAAATTTTTATAAAATACATCTTGTATTTACACACATACCTCATCTAAAAATATGAGTTTGTTGAATGCAAAGTTATTACAAACTATTAGAACCATTTGAGAGCTGTTTGTACATACTTCTTGCACAGCATACACAAAAAGTGACCCTAGAGAGACTAAGATTAAAAGGTGCAAATCTGCAATTGTGTACAAAATCTGTACTATGTTAAGTGCATATCTACATTGCATATTACACATGTGCCAAGTCTGTGGAAAGGAACAGTTAAACTTGCAACTATAAATTTCATAGAACATCACTATAGAGGAAAATAAGATACTTGGAGATTAAATAGAACATTCTTGCATCCTTTGAATATTCATAGTCATTTCAGATGCACAGGACCTATTATGGACATTGAATAGAACAGCTATGCAAAGAGGAATTAAAGCTGACAGCCTAGTAACCTAAATGTGTCCTTGCCCATCATGTTTGTGGGGATGTTTAGTAAACCAGTATTCACAGACAGGGTCTGGGTTGATACTGGGTCTTCTGATACTAGTTGGATATTCTTGTTAAAAAAGAAATGTAAGTCATGGAAACAGAGATAAGACCAAATTATCATGCAAGATTCCAGAGCTAATACACCTTTTTTGTTGTCGTTTTTTAAGAATATGTTATGGATGCTCACAAAACACTTGAAGGTAAGAACTAAACTGGTGCTATAATTTATTTAGTATGGATCTGCAGTAATTCCACCAGGACTTCTGCAGAAATCAAAAATGAGGTGAAAAGACCACCTCTCTTCCAGTTTTTCCTCTTTAATGTATTACAAGCTAGAGTATTATGTTACAATTTGTGGCCAGCACCAACTTCTAATTAGTTCTGTTTGAAACCAACACAAGCATCAGCCAGAAAAGCAGACTGCATAAGCTAAAGGTCTGTGGTACAGCTGGAATTTAAATATATATTCCACATCAGTAATGAGTAGTAAAAATAAGTTACTAAAATGGCAAGTTACACAGCCTAAAAGTCTGAAAAACTACAGTTCTGGTAAGGAAACATGTCCATTAGGGATCAGACAGCCTTTGCTATTACCTTGTCACGGCTGATTTTTATTTGAAGCACACAAAAAAAGGGATGGGTAATGATTTTTTTTTTTCCTGCTACCAAAATCAAATACTAAGAAACTTAAAAACTATTTGGCAATGCTAAATACTGAAGATTGCAAATATCTAAGTTAGTACCATGCAAAGTGAACTTCAGTGGACTTCCCTTGTGAAGAAACATTACCATAAGGACCATTACATAAGCAAGCAACACAGTACACAGGAAATATTTAACATGTCACCACGTTATTACATAATCCTTGGATAGTCAAAATTAGCAAGACTGTAACTGTTACCAAGGCTGTCATTCTGCCTTGTTTATTGGAGGGAGAATCTGCCCTTACAAATCTTTTTTATTTCTCTTTACAAGGGATCAATAGTACTGGGGAAAGAAAAAAAAAACCAAACACACAGCCAAAAAAACCAAACCATGGATGCGTGTTAAATACCATGCTATTAAAAGCAAGACAGAGCAAGATGTTGTAAAACGTAGTTAGGGAAGCATTACTTTTATTTTGTCATCATAAAATAACATTATTTTAAGATCACACAAATTTGAAAGATCATCTTTTTTTTTCCTGCAACATGAAGCCATCTCTACAGTTGGGAAAGGTGTTCACCTATTTCTCTGTAAATTTACAGTTTTGAGTAAAATAATTTGATTCTCTAAAGATGCATTCCAATTCATTATGTCGCACGGTAAATATCTTGCTCCTTTGGTCAGAGATAGTAAATAAAGACTTCAAATACTTGTAGCTTCAATTTTTAAAAAACCAATATACATCCTTAACCAAGGAGTACTTACGCTACACACAAGCCATAGATACAAAATACACAGTATATACACGGTTTGAAAACAAATTGGAATTTATAAAAACTCAAAACAGCCAAATCAAAGTAACTGAGGCACTAAATTAAAAGTAGTATCTTCATGTCTTGATTATACAGACTATTCCATGAACAATCAGAACCGTTTCATAAATATATATCATCTACAGAACTTGCTGTGGCAAAAAAGCCAGCTGTGTTTAAGCTGAAAAGAAAAACTGCACTTTGAGATTGTTACCGTTAACTTCTCTTTTTTTTTCCTCAAGTATAGTAATCTGGTCCTAGTGCTTTTGGCACAGGTATCGAGTTATGGTTTTGCTACACTTTTTTATAAAACACAAGGTTCTTTTATTTTGCTCATTAAAATCTGAAGAGTCTTAAACAAACCTAGAACTTTGATACAAATCTATATAGCTACAATTGCTTCATTAAATAATATACACAAATATGCTCTTCGGTCTTAAAACATCTTGACAACTGGATACAAAACAGTCACTTGTATTATCTCCAGCCTCCTTAATCTTACGCATTATCAGTCTGCAAGTGAATAAAATACGGTTTCTGGCCACATCTTGTACTAGATCACACCCCGGTGTACAAGGACAGAAAATAAATGTATAATAAAAAGATTGGATAAATTAGAAGGGGTTTCTTGGTCTTGAATTCTTCTCCAACTAGTAATGATGCAGCACTGTATGCAGCCCAAAAGACTCCAAACAACTGAAAAAGAAGATGAACAGTTTTAGCCGACACCACAAAAATATCTTTCCAAATATCAAGATAACAATCAGTTCTTCTCTCAACATAGTTAAAAACAAAAAAGGAACACCCCCCCCCCCCCAAAAAAAAAAAATTGACTGGGGGAGGAGGTGAGGAGGGGAAGAACTCCAAATACACAAAGAAAACACTTGTGCATTTTCATGTAAGTTTAGAGAAATACTGCACAAGTAGGCATGTTATTTTCATTTGAGACATTTTTACTGAAGTGAGCAGCTTAGGATCTACAATAAGTTTTCCCTAATACAAGACATACCGATACCACAAAGCAAGCCATAAGATTATATACACCCAGTTTGAAACTTCACTGGATTAATAACTTTCCTTTCTACCTTGATTGTCCCCAGCTATTCACTCCTTAAGCTCTTTAAGAGTCACTATACTTGACTTCCTGCTACAATGTATACCAGAGGGTTAAATTGCCATTGTTTATTTTCGGATTTGTCTGGCTTGCAAGCTTTCATTTAATTGTTTTGCCTCTGCCTCAAGGTAACTGAATCTCACACTCCTGTTCTTTTCAAGTGCAGTGAGAAGCCTGTCAAAACACAAGTTGTATGAAAGCATATTTATGTTTCATATATGAAAACAACATAGAGTTGTATGAAAAAATATACTGCTTATGAATTTAAGAAAGAACCAGTTTAAAAGGCTGGTAGAAAGTAACATTAACTATGAATATCCAGTATGTTATATGAACTTAGCGAAAAAATAAATAAATCTTGAGGTCAGTGAATTTGACTCAAAGCTCAAACTCACAAGGTTATAGAAAAAGTAATTGGACATCATCCTCTAGCAACACCTCAAATATTAATAAAAAAGAAAAAAATACTTAAAATTGAGTGGCATGAAAAAACACTGCAGTCTTCTGCAAAACACAGGACCAAAGAGGGCATGCATAACAGGACCCCAGCAAAGAACTTCTTTCACAGTTCTGTCAGAGAAGTTGAAGCCCCTTGAGGGATTATGTGGCCTGTTCAACTGCTATCATATAAACAAAACCCCCAAAATTGCATGTGATCACATACTTCCATTTCTGCTGCCTAACCCAGGCCTGCAGAGCAAAATAAGAACACTAATCAATACCATGACTGAATTCCTAAAGATATATTAGGAAAATTGCAGCAATTAAAATAATCGAGGCACATGACTCCAATAGTTTACTTTGTGGATTGCGACTGGAAGACAGCTGACTGGCACTTCGCTATTTCACTGTAACCTCCCCAACTTTAGGACTGCGAAGCATTTCCCCAAGCACTGAGCTCTCCTGCCATAACAAGTAGTGCTTGTCACAGAACAAGTAGTTTTGGCCATATGGGGCTTGTCCTCCATTTTCACGCTAATGATCTAATGATGCAAAAAGATTTGCCCTGCAGTTAAAAACCTGCTAGAAGGAATCAAGTAAGAGAGGTTTAATTAAAATATATTTCTGCCAGTTAACTGGCAGATTAATGATTTGCTTTCTGACTCTGTCACTTAATAGTAATTGCAAGTTATCAAGTCACAAACACAGCAATTGTTATTTATCATACACTTCAGCTGTACTTCAATTATACTGTTTACCACCAGCTAAAGAACAGAAACCATTCACATCAGTAGAACAAGAACTCAAAAAGCATACAGCTTAGCTAGTAACAATTTTCTCAACCTTTCCAAAAAGTTCAGCAGTAACTTCAAAAGCTACCTAAAAGGGTTTTAAGCAGCACTGGAAGTGTTCAGGAACATTAAGCAGTGCCAGGATCTGTCAAGGAACACTGCTAGTTTCACAAAAGGTGCCAAAAAGCAGGTGGCATCAGGCAAGTTATTCTTGCTTTGTACCTTACATTCCACACAGAATCAGAACAATACCAACTTTCTCTGCAAAGGTTATCAAGAGCTTTGTACTGCTACCACTATGGGAAGGTCTCAGAACAATGACTAACGTCAGACTCATGCTGCAGTACCTAAAAATAAAGTGGATGATGGGGGGAGGGACAGAACACTTATTTTCAGACTCTTCATTCTGAGGTTTAATTATGCATCCTCTTCTCAAAATGATAATCCTATTTATTTTTAATGCAACTAGTAGAGCACAGCAAAATCCTTAAACAGCAGCTAGCTGATAACAACAGGTGTTGTTATAGCAACAGCATTGTATGTGCCCAAGTATTCACACATTTAAAGCAGAATTTGCTTAGCAGTCATGTCCAGCATACTAGCCAAGAGGATCATAGAGTTCACTCATGCTGTAGTTCTGAATAGGTTAAGACTTGAAGTGTTAGGAAAGTGCATTAAAAATAGCCATAGACAATTCTCTATAAATGATACTGAACTTACTTTTATTAGGGTAGAAACAACTTCAAATGATCCAACCACCAAAAGTACAGGTGCTATGACAATGAGGGGAAGTAGGGAATATCCTATCACACCAAGAACTTGGCCATAAGCAACCTGAAATTTTCAAGCACATAAAATAAACTTTGTAGCACTCAATCTTTGTCACCAGGCCCAATCCGATTTTGGTATAACAGTATGAATAGCAATAATAATGTGTTATGTATTCACGAAATTTTAGGGAAAGGAAGCTTGCTAGTATGAAAACTGGTTTTGTATGTGACCCTCTAGAATTCTGTAATCAATCATTCAGATCTCTTAGATATATGTTGTTTTGGTGGAGGTGGTTTTTTTTTTAAAGCCAAAAACCCCTGTAATTGACAATTTTGTTACTTCCAAAGGAAGTATTTACACCACTTAAACTACATCATTCCACCCACCCCCTCACATTTTCGTGTTCTGCCTTAAGTGGTTCTCAACTGCCACTCTCCATGGACTGGACATATGATACCCAGGGCCACACCCCTAGAACAGACCTCTCAGCTTAGTCCTGCCTGTCACAAGCAGGAAAGACTTTTTTTCATTAATATACTCATATCCATTATATATAAATAAATACATAAAGTACATGAAGGCTTCTGGCATCAGTGAAAGACCTTGATCCCTTTAAGGCACAGAAATCTTCTGATTGCCTGTTTAAAATTATTATGACTATCTTAAACAGATTTCTTCAAAGTATTTTCATAACTGGTTTTAGCTTCATGGGGATTATAACGGCTGGTTTTACCCTACTATGGTTTGAAAACTTCCTGAGCCCAGCTAGGCTTCTTGGATTTAACACAAAAAATAGTGGTGAGACAAGAGACCATCTTGCAAGTGATCTCTTGTGGCTGTTGATCCTTCCCAGTACAGACCTATATTTCCCCCCCCACCTTATACATTCTGATAATTTCATTTTGAGCCACAAACCACAATGATTTCGGGGCATCTGGATTATGCTGTTATGCAGAAAACCAAGCAATTGCATTTATAAAAGCTTTTTCTCTCAAAACAGTGCTCACACAAGACGACTCTAGTAATTACAATTAAAAGGAAAATTTAAAGATGAAAGCAAATGTAAATAATGTAGGAAGTTTGCAACACTAGCTCCTCCTGAATGCAATATGCACAGTGAAAGTATCAAAATCAAGTACCGCTGAATATTTAGTACTTCACAACACAGTTCAAGGCATTTTAAGCTGCAGAGCCATTTTAAGAAGTTTCTAACCTCCTGACTGTTAAACCATAGGAGTCTGAGGGCCTTGCTGCAAGTCACTTCTTGTTGTTTACAACCAAATCACTTAGTGACTCAATTCGTAAACAGTTCAAGCAGCTATTCCAACCCTGCTGGTGCAAGCAGCTGGAGGGAGGGATGTAGTCCAGAACTTCAGCTGGCTTTGCAGTTGAACATGTGCTTTCATTCTTTAATGGGTTTGAACTGCATCAGGCCAAGGATGAAAACAAACACTGGTAGGTGCTCTCCCCACAAGGACGTTATACAACTGCTGCTAGCTCCATTTAAAGTAAAATAAAAACTAAAAAGTTTAAACAAAGGGAAGTGCAAAAGCAGTGCAAAGGAGGAGAAAGGGTGCCATTCAGCTAAGTACTGAAAAATCGAAAGCACTTGTCCCTCAAGAATGGGCTTCAGTCCTAGCTCACAGACACCTGTTCACATTTCTGGGATTCACAGTACAAATTTCCAGATTGTTTGTCACACCCAACAAGCCATAATCCACTGCACAGGAAGATTAGCTGACCCTCTGTATTTTCAATCTAGACGTTGTGCTTACCAACTGCATCCATTCTTAGCTGGCTACAAGGTCCAAAACCAAGCACCAAGAAAACCCAATTACTACTGAAAAACATAGCCAAGACTTTACATTACCTCCCTCTATGTCCTTTTGCATACAGGTACTTACTTCTCCTCCAAGAACCCTGGCCAGTAAAAAAATTGTCAAGGATCCAAATATCCAAATAGTTATAATCCAAGAAACCACCTTAGGAGATAAAAACCAATTAATTCATATTAATAATTTTCATTGTGAGAAAAGAAACTCATTTCTATTAATCACTTTTACTGCAGACAAGGATTTTATTATGCAAAACCGAATTCTGAATAGTTTTACTTACTGTTACAACAGAACTTGTGAATAAAATTCAGAGGTTGTATTTACAGAATCACATTAATGGTTTGGTGAACATGGAATGTACATGAGATGTGTTTTGTAAGTACTGTAATACTGTAGCAGATTTAGGAAGAGTTTAGTTAAAACTAAAGCTAAGACCACCCTAGCTAAACGTCTTCACATTGCACCTATTACAAAATGTGGGCTCAGGCAGTTTTAAATCAGCCCAACCAATACAAGGCATTTGACTTCTGCTTTTTTTCATCCATGAAGACACCACTTTATTCTTTACTCAAACTGAGAATGCCCAGAGGTCATCACACATCTGGCTCTCAGCAGAACTTGATGATTACAACTTAATACAGCCCCAGACTCCTGAGACAAAGTCTGTAATTATTTTTTCTTGCTTCTTTCATCACTCTGGTCTTAAACTGAAGAAAAATAAAAAATAAAATTAAAATTGGTCTCTAGCTTAACAGAGCCTTCAAAGTAACTCAGCTATTCTTGGAGATGAGCCACTGGGAAGACTAGAAGTGAAGCTGTCCGTTCTGAAATACCTTTTTAGAAGGAAATGACAATATCAGTCCAGTCTCTATTTCCAAATGTACAATGGACTTATAAATGACTTCATATTTAAGTCAGTATTCAATTCAATTTATTGTTTAATTAAAAGTTCCAGATACACTGAAGAATCAAACAGGGAAAAAACAAAAAACAAAAACAAAAAACAAAAACCAACCAACCAAAAAAAAAAAAACAACCAAACCAACCTACACGAAAAAACCCACAAGTAAAAATCGCAGCACCACTTAAACACAATCAAAACCAAAAAACACAGCTGTATACTATTTGTGAAAACAGAACATGGCCTCCTTTTACTTTCCGCTTTCCTTCACAGTCTAAGAGGACCAGATTAGTCTTAGAGCAGGAATGCTCCACTCTCCCCAGCTTACAGACCACCATCCAGCTCATCTAGCCTAGCTACTGTCAGCCATGCTGTTGCTAGCTATTAGCTTTCCCTCCTCACACTCATACAGCACTCTTACACCAATACAGTAAATCCACTGTTCCTAAGAAACATTAAACCTACTGTTCATGTACAGTAGGTACACAAACTGCAAAAGGTAGTTTATCTGTCATGGGATCAAGGAATGGTCCTTGCTTTGCCCAGGAGACAGCTAAGTGTTCCACCCAGAAGACTGAATAATACAGTGGTTTAGCCTACTCTCTTTGAGCCTTGCAGAAACAAGATACCGAGAATGACATCTTAGTCAGCATTTGCTACACCATATGGAAGCCAGAGGTTGCAAAGGGAAGGATTTTATCTCACCATTCACAAAAATCCTTGCATAAGCACATTCTGCTGCTTTACATATGGCTTATTGCTATACATTATATTTAAACCAACTGTAACTACAGATATATAGTCATCGAGATTTCTGAAGCAGGATCACCTAGGCTCATAATTAAATTCCAACTAGATATGATACCACTTCTCTCTTTCAATCTGAATATGAAGAAAAAACCTAACAGTGTTTATGGAGGCCAATGAAATCTGCACAATGATGCTGAATAGCTATTCACCCTGGATTTCAAAAGGAATTACGGAAAAAGTCTATTGACCAGAGGAAAGTTATCTGATTGTAATTGAGCAGAGAGGACAAAATAGCAAATGGCACTAATGAAGATTAAATATACCAGATAACAGCAGTGATAGAACATGAATTAAACTAGTAGCTTTATTTGTCAGGAAATTAAAATTCATTACATCCAAAGACATGTTCTTCAGTAATATTTTTTAGTAATAAAAAGCATGTTAACAAAAGGTCACAATTAAAATGGAAAGATTCACTAATATGACTATAAACCCATTTGCATCAATCTGTTCCCTCTAGAAACCGCATCTTTCCTTTGTTCTACTGTATAAAAACAAGCCTGACATTTCATCACAATTAACTTACCCGTGGGCCATTTAATACATTTCTGACTGCTGTCTTTCTACATATTAACTTGAGAATCAGCATTTGAAATGCCCTGCGTTAGTACGTGGAAAGAAAAAAAAGACAAAAAAAAAGACAAAAAAAAAAGACTTCTTCCTACATAAGTATGCAAATTGCTTGGCAGTCATATCCCTAAATTTAGTTTAGATTTACTTTTTGGTAGAAGGCTTATACCTACCTTAAACTGTCCATATAATGAAATCATTGAGAAGAAGAGGACTACTGCCAGAGGACCCCAGAAGTCTGGATTATCTCTCACTACCTGCCTGTTAAACCCAAGAGATGGCATAGGCATCAACACACATCGAATTTTGTAGTAAATATCCTTCAGATCAATGTCGAGTTCTTCCCTGAAATGGTAAAGTAGAGAGTGTTACTATAGAGCACAGCAATGAAACAGGGCAGAAAAAAAAAAGTAATCACAGGGGCAAATGGCAGGTTTATGGAGCAAGTCTCCTGTCACCACTAAGGCTTTCTGAAGCCATGGCTAGCAACAGAACAGTTTGCCCGCAACAAACCTTCACCCCACATTCAGGAACTGGCAGGAATTGGTGTGACACGGATACATTTAATTGCTCAGTACTCAGTTACATGATTGAGAATAGAAAACACACACAACATACCCTAACAGTCTAGAATAAGGCAGTAGATCTATTTTCTGACATGTAGGAACATGTGACACATTCATACCATTGTAACTACTGAGAAGTCAGACATGCATACACAAAAGTATGATGTTTGTGTTCTTCAATGCTGAGCAGTTTGCCACAAGTACACTTGTTATGGAAACATTTTCTTTCAAGTTCTACAAGAAAGAACACCTTTACATTCACTAATCCTAAACCATTCAAAGCACAAGGTAAAAACAATTCTTTTAAACGAAATGGGGTTTAACTTCCTTCAACAACAGTAGCTTTCAGCTGACCAGTTTATGCCAGTTGTTTAATTACTGGCTTGTTTCCAATATGGGTAAAAATAAATGAAAGCAAATTAAGCTATCAGTAAATTCTATCAACAGATCTTGCTCTTTTCTGCCTTCTTCACTCCCTGCTGCAAACTGTCTGTAAGCAGCCACAAATTGACCAGAAGACTCTTAACTGGTACATCTTGCCCCAACTGTCCTAGCAGAACAGGAAGGAATAAGACTTGTAAAGTAATGGGCAATTCCACTTCATTAAGCTTATGCATGGAACCTAAAGACAGAACTGTACGCTAGGGTTTTCCTTATGCAGTTACAACCAAGGAGCAATGAAGAGTTGCAAGAGGCTTCTGACAGACATGCCTCTGCTCTATACTCAAGAGCACAGTAGAGAAAAAGGCAGAATCATATCCTAAGTCAGCTCATGAAAGTTTTATACATGGGTTTGATTTATAGCTTTTTCCTCAGAAAGGCTGTAGCGAGGAATAAACACAAAGACATGATTCACCATAATTTCTCTTAAAAAAAAGTAATCAAATACTGCTCATTGAGTCTCTCAAGGCAATTTCAGGATTGCTATTACTGAAACTATTTCAGAATTCATATTATTAACCTGTGACTAAATAACAAAAATTGTTAATACATTCCTGAATCTAAGGAGTAGACTAGAAGCATCTATTTGCCCCCATTTATCTAAACAGGATGTAGCACCCCTGTATTTTACTCTGAAGACTATGCAGATATTTCCTGTCTGCAAATAATTCTTTGTCATTGCCCATGGCAAATTCTGACAACTTCTCATGTGAAAAGACTGTCTTTGCATGAAGCTGACAGCTACCTCACCCAAGAAGTGGTGAATGCTGTAAGAGGAAACAAGTCTCTGGGGGAAGACTGCCCAATAAGAAAGAAAAAAACCATAATCTTCCTCTATTGAACAAAATACATGCATGGTATCACCACATGGATTAACTTCCCTTAACTGGCTGCTAGTCTTTAAGTCATAGCAGGATTCAGATTACAAGGCTTCATTACAGCACGTGTTATGAGAATAATCAGAACTGCATAAAAACTGCTATGTAACAGATTGAGGTCTTCTCTGTTGGGATGAATATATTCACCCTGTGTCATAAACTGATCATGTCCCTGGCATGTACTCCTCACTTCCAGCAATCAGCAGGTTAGAACACCCTGAGGATGGAAGGGACCAGCGGAGGTTATCTAGTCCAACCTCATGCTCAAGCAGGGTCACCCAGAGCACATTACTCAGGATTGTGTCCAGATGGCTCTTGAGTATCTCCAGGGAAGGAGACTCCACAGCCTCTCTGGGCAATCTGTTGCATTGCTCAGTCACCCTCACGGTAAATAAGTTCTTCCTCATGTTCAGGGTGGAACTTCCCGTCTTCTGCTTTATGCCCATTGCCTCTCGTCTGGCCCCAGCCTCCCGACACCCTAACTGTCCTCAAATCACAAACTTGGTTTTTGTGGTATAAAAAGTTATGCAAAAGAAAAAAACGCACATGTTGAAACCTCAGTGCTCCATTCTGTTTCATAATTAAAAGTTAGAGCTTTACAGAAGAGACATTCACACAAGCAGCTACTTCTGCACAGTTTAAAGGATTTCTCAAGTAGCAGTGTCATTACTAAGCTCTCCATACATCTGTTCTCTCCAACGCTCTCATTTGAGTTCTCCAGAGTACCCTCCTGCTCACTCCATTTTTTTTAAACACCATTATCTTTAATTCACGCAGGAAAACAGAGACTCTGAGAACAAAGTTGCTTAGATGCAGAACAAGGACTGAGACTCTGGCTGCCTAGCCCACAGTGTAGTAACCTTAAGATACAAAGGTTCTGCAGCCAACCACATTTCTGTGCATGGAACAAGGGATGCAGTGATTTTCGGTTTTAAGTTGTCCTTCAACACTTCCACCCTTTTAATCTAGTTTTATATTATAAGACAGCATCAAAGATAATAAAGTTTGTGCTATCTTCCTTCTAACATCCCTTCTGTAATAAGTACAATTCACAACAATTTTACTTCAGAGTAACTGACAATGTATTTACTTAACATGAATCCTTCCACCAGACTGTCTTAGCCTCTGATTCTTTGACAGTAATAAATTCACAACAACACAAGAGAATAAATTCTCGTTTTTTGACTCATTACAAGATCAAAAGATAATAGCAGAAAAATCCATTGAAGCTTTATAGAGATGAGTAAAACCAGATTTTACTTCTTCCTTCCTCCCCAGCAGTGATTAACAAGCCTCTCTTTTACACTAAAAATATAGCTTATAATGAGAAACGATGTTTTCATTCCTGCACACCAAGTAATTTGTCAAAAAGAATTCTCGTGACAGCAGAAGGCTGTGGGACAATTTGAAAGGCCACAAGTTGGTTGTTTATCCTACACAGTTAATAAAGAGATATAAAAAAATAATTATGACATACAGGAGTGGCTTGTTATCTTCTGGGTCATCATCTTCCACTTCCAGAAGCCAGCCATATCCCCTCTGTCTTAGGAATGTAGTTGCAGAAGATTCTTTGATGAATTCTCCTCCAAGATTTAGCTTAACATCTGGAGTTGTTATGGAGCCACTAAGATCTGAGAGCAAAAAGGGAGAGAAAGATACACCATTTTATGTCTTGTCAAAAGCCATTTAGTTCCAAAAGTACTGGGAGACAAACAACAGACATACAAAGTTAAATGTGCTGGTCATCATCACCACGAAATATTCCACATTATAGAATAAAATTCTATTTTAACAGATACATAATTCAAAAAGGTCCTTCTGGTTTTAAGACAATTGTAACAATGTTGATCTAGGACTCAAATTACCATGTTTTAGTTTCCAGATGGAACTCCTGTCTTGATGACACAGCGTTATGGTATGACAGAAAGGCTGTGATTTGTGTTTTATCATTAAGTATTTAAAGGCATAAAAGGAGTTAACTAATGCAAGTCTCATCACACTGAGTTGGGGATTATTTAACTTGGTTTTTTGCTAATCATATTACAACTCTTTTGGAGCCTTTTTCTGCACAGTGGCATTCTTTGAGCTGAAACCATTCTCTGCTTTTACATTCAATTTTTCATAAAAGGAAAGCATTTGTACATTTTCATTTTTAGTCTGCCCTGTAATACAGCTGAAAATGTCAGAAAAAGAACACTATTAGAGATCCCGAGGCTCCAGCTAATAAGACGAGATGAGTTCTCTTCAATATACTGTGATCTTGCTCTGCAACAGTACCAAACAAAACAAAAAGGGCAATTTATGCATGTTCTGGTTGTGTTGAAGTCACCAATAAATACTGATTTTATTAACTCACTATATTTTATTAACTATATAGAGATGAAAAATACAAAATAATAACTGAAAACATACTAAGCAACTGGAAAAGAGAGAAAATACAGAAGAGGAGGATAATTATTCCTTTAGGAAATAATGGATTTCCATTTGCTAAAAAGTAAAAATACTAACACAAACATGTAATTTTTTTGTACAAATGTTATTACAAGTATATTGAAAGACGAAGAACTCTCTTCTCATCCAACACCTTTTTACTTCACCAAAGAAAATCTTATTTTGTCTTTGTATTGTTGTGTCTGTTCTTCACACAAAGAAGCTCCTAGGCACCAATTCCCCCAAACAGCCACTTACAGCAAGTATTTCTGAAACACACACTCACAGAGGCAAGTCAGGCCGTATTTGTAAATTACACCTGCAACACCTTATATCAAAATACAATCTTGTTTTATAAAAGAAAAATGTGTAGAAAGACAGAACCTCACAGTCTTCAGCCAGCATGTCACAAGTGTTCACTGATTACTCAGTATCACAAACAGCAGATTTCTCCTTCCCAATCAACTTGCTAAGCCACTCAAGCTTAAATTTAAGCTTCTCCATAAATGCTTTTCAACCATTTCATAATCATGAGAGTTAATAAGCCACCACTTTGATTCCAGGCACACCATCTGTGTGGGATCTTTGTAAACACCACTGTAACTTAGAGGAGGAATTTTTCTTTGCTCCTGTCAGTATCAGCACACATGCTCTGTTCTCACCAGACCCAAGCAAAGCCGCCTTATGATGTGATGTTTACATAGCGAGGAAAAAAGACAAATGTATTCTTGATGCCTGGGCCTCAAGGTAGAGAAAGCCTCAGGAGTTTTGTATTGTCATGGAACCCTTTTGCCATATTTGTTTATGCTACAACATATCACCTGTCTACAAGGTGAGGCTGTTGCTACTCTGTGCACAAATGTGACTGCCAAAACAAACCAATGTAACAGCCCAGCTAGCCACTTATTTCTCCTTTCTCAGTGATCACTGACAATCCATCCTGAGGCAGGAAAACCTCTACACAAGTCTTACTTAACAGGACTCCTTTTAGCAGCTGATGACCAGTGAACGCCTACAGCCACGCTTTTTAATCATGAAACCTATTAACATGATTTTAAGTCTATTTTGCAAGAAATCTCAGGTGGGACATATGGCTGCAGAAATCAAGGGGAAAAAGAAGTCCACCACCTCCTCTTTATAGCACACACTGCTCTGCATGAGATGGTTAACAACAGACCAACCAAGTGCTAAAGAATGTGCCACCAATTGATGGTTCTGCTGCTCACTTGCAGGAGTTAGGGTGTTTCACTGCTACTATCTCAAGCAGAACAACACAAAAGCAAAACTGGGGTACCTCACATGCCTCATTTTTCAACCAGGCATTGTGGAAAACCAGCTTTCAAGACATGCTTTGCTCTCGGTTTTGAAAAAGCAGTATAAGAGACAAAAAAACCCACATCAGACAATCTGTTCTTCATACCGTATCTGCCCACTTAATCGAGAACACCTCTCCAGCATGCTTTCCCCACAAACAGCTCCTACCATACAGAAATAAAGACAGGAAAATAAAACAGTTTATATTTATATATATATATACACACAGGCATACATATATATTTATATCTCAAGATTTGGTAAATGTTTGGTAAATTAGAGTGCAACATGTAGAATTTTAATTTAGAAATACCAAGCTGTTGAACTTCTCTTATGTTTTTCTTTGTTGGGGTAGGTCTATGCAGCACTTTGCAGAACAAGCAGGAGATCACACCTTCTTTGTGTTCATAAAGAACACAAAGCTGAGTCCAACTCAACATATCCTACAGGAAAGGTGGTTGTATCGGATTGGGTTCAGCATTGCTCAATAAATACTTCCAGGGGAACCCAGAGAGTTTTCATTCAGATGGATCCTTTTTCAGGCCAAGGCAAAGAAGAAAAACAAACAAAACAAAACCCCACAGCTGAGATTGTACCTGTTGATTAGTATCCCTTGTCAGAGGGACTTGGAAGTTCACCAAAGGGGTGTTCTATGGCAGTTTTTCCACTTCAGTAATTCTTTTCCAGGGTGGGGCACATGAGTCAGGATATACATGATTCCCTACCCCATCCACAATTTCAACAGTTACTAAATACACACATAAAGTAGAATGCTTGCTGTTTAAATGGGTAGAGCCTTAAAGGATCATCCCCCATCAAATTAAGTTAGCACAATGTTGAATCTTAGATGTTCATTTTCAGTCTTGAGGCAGATCTTCATAGCATTCTGGAACACCACAGCTATTTGTGCAGCAGTGAGGCAGCAGGCCACACTTCATCCCTAAACTATGGGCAAGGCTTCTTCCCCCTACACTCCCATTCCTGTGCTGACAAGAGACTCGGCGTGCAGCCTTTGGCACAGCATTACAGCGAACGTGTACATACAGTACTATCTTCAACAGACAAAAACCGGCGCCTCCAGCAACGTGGGGAAGAGGAGCGGCCTGTGACAGCGCTTGTCACGGCTGTGTCAGGTCGCCGGGCACAATTTAGATTATGGCTCTCGGAGAACCTGAGGAACCGAGAGCCGCGGCCCGAGGGCAGTGGCCACCGCCGCCACCTCAGCCACCCCCCGCTCCACCTCCAGCCACGCCACCAAGCCCGGCAGCGGCGGAGGGGCCAAGGCAGGCATCTCTTGCCCCAGTGGCACGGGAGCTGCCGCTCCCCCGAGCCTGGCCGAGCCCTTCCATCGGGAAAACGAGCGACCGCAGCCGCAGCCCCGCGCTCACCTTCGGCGTCTGCTGAGGAGACAAAAGTGAAATCCCCGTTGCTGGGCGCATATAGCGGCGGCTGCTGGGGGCCCGGGGGCTGCATCTCCCCGCCCTCCGGGGGGCTGCGGAGCCGGTGGGGAACAGCAAGAGGCGAGCGGCACAGGGGCCTAGCGCCTGGCGGATAGCTCCTGCGGCTGCGGCCGGCACCCAGCAGCACAGCGCAGCCGCCTCACACGGCAACAACAACCGACACCACCCCTCCCATTGGCTGCTTGCAAGGCGGGCCGTGATTGGCGGCTGTGCAGCCAGTGCTGAGTGGCTCCCCGGTTCTGTCTAGGGGAGCGAAGTCATTCGACTTCGGTATAAGAGTCTTCCTGATTGGAAGACGTGTGATTCCCCCCCCCCCCCCCAACCGGTGGGAGGGGTGAGGTGGGCACGGTGCTGCGGGGCGCGGCTCCGCCGCAGGGCCGTGTTTCATGTTCCGGCCGATGGCCGCTGTGGCCTTGAGGCCGGCCTGTTATCCCGTTTACCCCTTCCCGGCGCTGCTGGGTTTGACCCTGAGCACCACTTGCTAGTGCCTTGCGCGCCTGGCTTTCCGAGGCCAGGGGGTGACCAGCGGGTGTTGGGTCGGTAGGGGACATGAACGCCCCGCCGCAAGGCAGAGCGGGAAATGCCCTACTTTCATGCGCCTGCCGATGCTTCTCGTGGAAAGCTGTCTCACCGGACCCAGCGGGCAATGAGAAACAGCCCCTTGCACTGAGGTCTTTGGAGGTCTCGCACCGGGCCAGGTGGCGTTCTGCTCAGCTGCTCGGTGCGAGAGCTGCTGTCACCGAGATGGGCAGCATTAAAGGAGTGCGGCTGGGTGGTTTAGTCTAGTCTGGCCTCCCAGAACCGATCTCAAGGCTGAGAGCAGAAACTGGGCACCTGCAGCACCATGGGAAGACACCTTCACCCCCTCACTGCCACCTGCAGCAGTTTTCCTCGGTTTCTGGTAGAAGTGGTTCATCCAGGTGCCCAGTGCTTTCTGCCTGTTGCCATGCTTGATTAAAAGCCTGCAATAGTGAGGTACTTTGGCTTTCTGTATGCTGCTTGACCCATGTAATTGCTTTCTGCGTGCTGCTAGAAAGAGTATTTTGAACTTTTGAGTATCCCAAGATTTGCTGTGAATTTTCTTTGTTGAATAAGAGCATCCCAAGTATTTTCCTTCCATGATGGATATGAGAAAATGCATCATTCCTCTTCACTTCAAAAGGATTTGCCTTCATCCTTACTATCCAGTGATATTTTAAATGTCTTGACCTCCCAGCATCATCATGGTCATCTGCAAAGCTTTTTGCTAATTATTTTCTGTATACAGCCCTAAATCTATTCTGTTCCTTGACACCTTTTTTTGTTTGTTGGTGGTTTTTGGTGTTTGTTGTTGGTGTTTGTTTTGTTTTGTTTTTCTCCCTCTCAGTATCTATATGCAATTTTCATGCCTGGTCCCTATATGTTAGTGGTATCCTCGGTAGTCCCCTGCAGTTCTGAGGTTTCTGGACTGTTACCAAGTGCATTGTCCAAATCCCTCTTAAACGCTGGTAGACTTGGGCCATCAACCACGTCTCTAGGAACCCTGTTCCAGTGTTTGATCACCCTCTCTGTAAGAAATGCTTCCTAATGCACAGTCTGATTATCTGCAGAGCATCAGCAAGCAGTCTGTTCCCGATCTGGTCAATGATAATGCTGTGAAACACATCTTTGACTCACCTGCAGTACTAAAAATGCGTAAAATAATGCTACTGAGATGCCATTGCTTGTCCATGTTACAAGAAGACAGGCAGGATGTCTTTAGCTGTGGCCTATCCTTTGGAGAACCAGGAACTAGGACCTCACTTTTTATGTGTTCAATGACTACTAGATTGAACAGAAAAGCTCTCAGATAACCCTGCTTAGGCTTAGCCATTAGCTCCTTCCCTCTGCTCCAGGCTGAACATTTGTTCTGAGAGGACACTTACTTTTCCTGACATCTCAGGGAAACAGGCTTAAATTTAGTGTTCATGCTCTATATATTTAATTCTACTTCACACATAGAACTCATTAAATGCCATGGAGTATAAATATAGCTGTGTATTAAGCTGAAAAAGTTACAGGATGAGAAATTGCATTAGAGCAGTGGTTTGATTTGGAGAAGGAACCTCCTTTCTCATAAATTCCATTAAAGGAAATAACTGTGAGTTCCATCTCAAATCTGAACAAGGAAAAGCCAATCTGATTTTTATTTTGAGAGCATAACTAGGAAGTTCCTACTTTGCCATATTCAAAGATCACAGAAGTTTGCATTTATATTGAATATTCCTTGGGTTCAGGTTCTCTGTGGATTTTTACAATGATTATGAGTTTTAGCAGCAGAAAAAGCACTGTGCCTCTTGATAAATGTGAGGGGTGGCTTTCAGGGCACTGTAAAAGGGTGGGAGGAGACGAAAGAGATGAAGTCTCACACTGGATCAGCTTTGAGGAGAAAACTTTGTACGATAATTAGTGGTAGAATATTATGCAATAAAATGAGTCACAAATGCGTGCTTTATTTGTGTGCCAAACAGAAACAGTGACCAGAGGGACTGCATGATAGGCTGGGTGACTAGTTAATTCTCTCCTCATTTCATGGCTTCATGCACTTGACCCAGTGCTATTTGGGTCATATACATCATACACACATTTCTAAGTACAGCCAAAGTACATGTAGGTTGACATGGTCAGAAGACAATTTCGTAACCATGCTGAACATGTGGACCAAAGAAGAGATCTTGTTTACTATTTGGAAATGTTTTCTAGATTTTCTTGTAGTCTGTGATTTGGACTGTGATCTCTGTGAACACGAACAAGTAAGTCATTCTATTTATTTGTTTTCAATACACTATTTGTAAGGACATTACCACTCACTATCTTCTTTTTAAACATGGTTTTGGTAATAGAAGAAAACTTATTTTTATTATTTCTTCTCCTAGGGGCTTTTTGAGCAGCTGAGATCCAAATGGATTTCACATAGAAGAGATGCTGAAGCAGACAGAGAAAACACATTCTGCCCATGCTTACCTAAAATGAGAACAGTAAATAGGTTTTCAAGAGTTGCTCCTCCTCTTGTGTGATGCCCTGTCATACAAGAGCCATGAAGGATCGAGAAACACAACAGATCCAGGCACTGCGATTTTTCAGCATTTGCTGAAATACTAAGGCTGCCCTCCCTCTCTTTTCCCTTCCCCCTCAGGCTCTCCAAGTGAGCAACACGTTGTCCCCTGCCTGGACTGTGCCAGCGGAGGGCACTCTAGCCCTGCTTTTGCCACGTCAGGTTTTGCCCAGGGGTTCAGTTCAGGGTGGGATTCTGAAAAGTGGTGTTGAAAACCAGTTGAGTAACTTGTTTCACCCAGATGCTGCTACTAGATTTCTCAGCATTTTATGAATTTTCCCTTTCTGTGCATTTTAGAAATCACCTTCATAGATTAAGGCCCAGACTACATCTAAAAATGTGAGCACTTGTAAAATGCTCCAGTTGGTCTGCTGAAGTATAGGTTTTCTTGTAGATCTTTGCCCGTAACCACCCTTCCATGTAGTTTAACTGTTTGCAAGTGCTGGCTTCACTCCTACCACCAGTGGGACAATTTGCTTGCACTGTGAGTTACTGTATAGTAGTCAGGGAAAGGAAAAAGAGGTATTTAAAAGGCTGTAGAAAGCTGTGCTGCTTACAAAATGCAACCTGTATGCAAAATTTAGTTTATTTTAGGAAGAACCCTGTTTAATTTTAGTTTTAGAAATACAAGAATATTTCAGTATGTGAATTTACTGGAACATTTTCTAATATTTATGTTGTGAAAAGGAAGTCAGAATTGTTGATGTTAAGAGTCCTCTTCCGATTTCTTGGGGGAAGTCTGGAGCCAACTGCTGTGACAGAAGTAGGCAGACCTGCTGAGGAATTTTATTCCTCATGTCTCAGAATAGTATCAGATTATGTTGATAGTACCAATAGTCCACTTTGAAATGGCTTTTACATTTGCATCCAGGGTTGTTAGACACTTTCTTTGGGTCTGCCTTGCTGTATCTAGTGATAGCAAGATAGATAGTGATCTAGTGAGGAAAGCTCTGAGCCCTGGCTCTTGCAACAGCAAGGTTTAGCCTAGATATCACAGAGCTCTGCAGTGAACATCTCACGAATTAAAATTGCTATCTTTCAATGAAACCATTAAAGCGTGAATGAAGTAAATGCATCGTAGATGCACTGATTTTAACTGGTAGTAGAAATACTTACTAACTTGACCAGTAACTCTGGACTGAAGGCTAAGTTTCTGACAACTTGTCTATTGTAAAATTTCAAATAGTTCTCAACTGCAATTTGCTTTACATCAAGAAACAGTTCCATATGTTTCTGGTAGCAGGAAGGTTATTGCACAACATACTCTTTAAGCAAAGAGGATAGTAAGCAATTGTACAAGGAGGGAACTTGCAGACAATGCATCTACAGATAATATGGAGCCTGGTTTTGGCAAGCAGTACTACGCTTTACTGCTTACTGAGTCTTTTTAGTTTAAGATCACACTGATGTGGGTAAACTGCTTTCTTTCTTACCACTGCCTTCTCAGAGATGTTTTAACTTGTTTTGCTAGAAATATTTTCTCTTAGGAAACCCTACATGCCTTTGGCAGTGCAACTATTTATTTTAAATATTAAAAAAAAAAAAAGAAGAGAAAAGCCTGTGTGCCGTTTGCTTGGAAAAATCTATTAGAAAAATTGCAATATTTCAGGTGATACTTTTTACAGGAGCAAGTTCAAATTAGTCTTTCAGCACTGGAAGTCCTGAATAATTGAAATAGTGGGTAGCAATGGAAAAATCAGAAACTAGAAATGTGGAGCATTATGTTGCATAGAGAACTGGAGTGTGTTCCATGTCTTGTGAGATCAGAAATAATTGCCATTAACTCTGGTCCTTGGAGGAATCCTTTGCTTTTGGTAAATAGTGCAAAAGTCTTTGTTAGGACTGTTGATGGGGAAAAACAGCAAGCAGCCCAAGTGTAATGTTTTAACAACTTTCAAATATGGGTAACTAGCCTTTGGAAGATGTTTCTAAAGAGGAGTCAGTCATAGCCCGTGGATAGTCTCAATCCTACTAGAAGAAAGGCATAATAAGACCAGACCCCAGTTGTTCCATG